CCAGTGGAGATCGGCGATGGCCCCCACACCGCCCGGATCGGAATGACGTTCGTCGTGGTCCGCCTGAAGTGCGCCCACAACGCCATTTTGGGCCGACCCGGCCTAGAAGACTTGGGGGCCATATGCTCCGTACGGCACTCATGCATCAAATTCCCCACCGACACTGGAGTGGGAGTAGCACGTACGGACCCGCATATGGCCAGAGCCTGCTACACGAAGGCCATGGAGAAGCTCAACGAGCGGGAGGCTCGGGTCAACAGCATCTCCGAGAAGGCCAAACAAGCCGACTTGGACGCTCATATGGAACCAGCAACTCTGCTGGAGGAAATTGAACTCGACGATCCGACGGACAGGAAGGTGTCCATTGGTGCGGATCTAGAGCCGGAAATCAGGGCAGGGGTCATAGCCGTCCTCCGGAGGTTCAGGGTCTTGTTCGCCAGAGGGCCGGAGGACATGCCGGGCATCGACCCCAACCTCATATGCCATAAACTCGCCGTGCGGCCGGATACCAAGCCTATACAACAGAAGAAGAGATATATGGCGGCCGACCGACGCGATTTCATCAGGAAGGAAACAGCAACTCTCCTCAGCATCAAACATATCCGGCCAGTCATCCACGTGGAGTGGTTGGCCAACGTGGTACTAGCCCCAAAGGGCGACACTTGGCGGATGTGCGTCGATTACTCGGACCTCAACAAAGCTTGTCCGATGGACCCTTACCCTGTCCCGAGGATCGACCTGCTGGTGGATGAGACAGCAGGCTGCGAGCTGCTCAGCTTCATGGACGCATTCAGGGGCTACCATCAGGTGTTCATGCACCCCGATGATGCCGAAAAAACGGCGTTCGTTACGGCGGACGGCGTGTACTGCTACATCGTCATGCCTTTCGGCCTGAGAAACGCCATGGCTACTTTTCAGAGGATGATTGGGATGTTGTTCAAGGACGTACTTGGGAAGACAATGGAGGCTTACGTGGATGACATCCTGATCAAAAGCAAGAAAAAGGAGGACCATGTCCAGGACATGGAGAGGGTCTTCAGCATCATGGAGAAGGCCAGCATGAGGCTCAATCCGAAGAAGTGTGCCTTCGCCGTCAGGGGCGGCAAGTTCCTCGGCTACATGATGAGCGAGCGAGGGATCGAGCCTAACCCGGAGAAGGTGAAGGCGATTATGGACATGGAGGCCCCAAAGAACCTAAAAGACGTGCAGCGGCTCACCGGGCGTCTGGCGGCCCTGAGCAGATTCTTATCCAAGCTGGCTGATAAGGCGATTCCCTTTTTTCAGATCATGAAGAAGGCCAATCCCTTTCAATGGACCCCGGAGTGCCAAACTGCTTTCGAAGATTTCAAGGTATATCTCTCCTCCCCGCTCGTCCTCACCAAGGCAGATCCCGGGGAGAGATTATACATGTACTTGGCAGTAGCCGACCTGGCCGTAAGTGCCGTGCTGCTGAAGGAATCTGAGGGCGTTCAGCGGCCAATATACTTTGTAAGTAAGGCGCTGAACGGTCCCGAGACGAGGTACACACTGATGGAAAAGACGATCCTCGCCTTGATTGCATCCATCAAGCGCCTGGCACCGTATTTCCAAGCACACCCGGTAACTATCTACACGACGCAGCCCCTCGCCACAGTCCTCAGGAACCCAATGGCAAGCGGAAGGATAACGAAGTGGTCCTTGATGATCGGCCAGTATGACGTGGACTTCAAGCCGAGGCCGACGATCAAAGGGCAGGCTCTGGCGGACTTCATTGCGGAATGCACCGCGCGCACCGAGGACGGAACCCATGACGACAATGACTTTGATGATTGGTGGGAAATGTACACCGATGGGGCCTCGAGTGCGCGGGGCTGCGGCGGAGGAGCAGTGATCACTTCCCCCGAAGGTTTCAAGGCCTACTACTCTATGAAATTTGAGTTCAAGGTCACCAACAACGAGGCTGAGTACGAGGCGCTTATCGCAGGGCTGAAATGCGCGAAAGCCCTCGGAGCAGCTCGTCTGAAGGTGAGAATGGACAGCCAGCTGGTGGTAACCCAGATGAACGGCACTGCAGAAACCAGGGAAGAGAGAATGAAGGTCTACAAAGAGCTGGCGGAGGAACAGACCGCACAATTTGAGCAGGTGGTGCTTGAGCAGGTATCGCGGGTGGAGAATGCAGAGGCGGACATTCTATCAAAACTGAGCAACCCCCCAACCGATGACCCGGCATCAAGCATCCCCCGACACATCAGAGGCTTCGTTAGGCAGGAGGTATTCCCAGCACCGGCGACGGACGTCATCCAGGTGGAGGTTATCTCCATTGCCGAACCTAACTGGGCAAAGGAGATAGCAGATTATCTCAGAGATGGAACACTCCCCGAGCCTGAAGGTGATGGCAGTACAGGAAGAGCCGCGTGGATAAAGAGGCGTGCCCCTAACTTTGAACTCATTGATGGGCAACTTTACAAGAAGACGTTCGGCGGACCCTACCTCAGATGCCTCCCGCCGAGCCTGGCAGCGGCGGTAATCGAGGAAATACATGAAGGGATCTGCTCCAGCCACCAGGGCCCCCGAACCTTGGCCAGAAAAATCATCCTGCAGGGTTATTACTGGCCGACCATACAGCAAGATTGCTTCAACCACACGCGGAAATGCGCAGTATGCCAGCAGTATGCACCTGTCCCTGGCCGCCCAGCGAGTTTCTACACCCCGATGACCATCGCACTACCTTTTGCTAGGTGGGGCGTAGACCTGCTGGGTCCTCTGCCCACGGCTGCGGGTGGAAGGAAATTCGTCATTGTGGCGGTTGATTATTTCACGAAGTGGGTCGAGGCCGAACCATTGGCCTCCATCACTGAATTTCAGTGCCAGAAGTTCGTCTGGCAGAACATCATTTGCCGCTTCGGGATCCCGGAGCAGATCATCACAGACAACGGTCGGCAGTTCGTCGGCAGAGGCTTTGAGGCATACTTGGCAAAGTGGGGCATCAGGCACTCTAAGGCCTCGGTGGCCTACCCGCAAGCCAACGGCCAAGTGGAGAACATGAACCGGACCATCATGGACGGGATCAAGAAGAAGTTGGAAGACTACACCTCCACCTGGCCGGAGCAGCTGAATTATGTCTTATGGACATACAGGACGACGCCAAGAACGGCGACTGGGGAAACCCCTTTTGCCTTGGCTTACGGATTCCAGGCTAAGGTACCGACGGAGGTACTGGTACCTACCCATCGCACCAAGCACTTCCAGCCGGAGGACAACGAGATCAACCTACGAGCAGAGCTCCATTTCATCGAGGAACGGAGGGACCTAGCGGCTCGTCGCATGGAAGAGTATCACAGGGTGATGTACTCCTAATTTACCATATTTATGATCTTGTTTTGTCACACTTTTAATACTTTATTTCTCATTTTTAAATAAAAAGGAATGCTCTTTATCATTTTGGACATTTTAAGGTATTGCACTTGTTTTGGTATATTTTTGAGTTTCAGGATAATTCGGGACGAATATTAATTTCTGAAAAGAAATAAATATTACTCCCGAATGAAGACGGAAAAATCATCAAAGTGAAGTGGGTTCTTACTTTAACTCCGGAATATTTTATCAAGAGTCCCGAAATACATTTTAGAATAAGTCAGACTGTCCGCAATAAAACGTACCGGTTAATTGCTGACCAGTTAACTGATCAAACAATTAACCGGTCAAATAATGCAAGTGGCGGATACAAGCCAAAACTTTGGCTGACAGGTACTATTCACTCCTTATTATGAGTGAAACTCCATACGTAGGAAGCTCCCAAGAATGAAAAGAAATAAATACATTGCATTATGAGAGGGACCCATTCAATAGTGATGACTTTAGTTTCTTCCACACAATTGAAGCTCTACACACGTATCATCTTCACCATTCAGCAACAAACCAAAAGAAGCTCAATCAAAGTTCATGACAGGCGCCGCAGAAGAAGAAAAATGAGTCCAGAGCACTATTCTTCAATAGGAACTCAATTCCATCACCATCTTCATCATATGACTTTTGTGCTCCAAGCTATTCTGAAGTTGCCTATATAAAGAGCCATTTGGGAGCTGCGAAAACACACCAATTCAGAGAGGAATCATCCTCTTCTTTCTTTAGCTTTGTTCATAGTAGTAGCAATAAAATAAAAGTGATTCTGCCAAGAACACTTTCTGTATAGATTTCAGTTTGTAATTCTCAGTTCCAAAATATTAGCTTGTGATATTTGGTATTAAAGTTCATTTGCAATTATCAGTTCGTTCGATCAGTTCCAGATTAATACAAGGACTTCAGCTTTTCTGTTCCAGTTCATCTATGTTCTTCATTATTTATGCCTTCAGGTTCTTATTTAAACACTCACTTTAATTTCTTTAATCTGTTAAGTTAAATATGTCTAGCATGAATTTTTACTTTTATATTGTTCACTATAATTATGTGTAACTAAATTAGTTTAGGTTTGGGCAAGATGTTATTTTTACTATTAATGTTCATAAGATAATAATTGGTTAAAACTATTAACTGGTTAATTTTAGGAGTGTTGGGTTGAATACTATAATCTGCTAAATAAATTAATATTGGAAATGAATATTATCACGGGAGTGAAATTTCATTAAAATCCATTTATTTAATTCACCCACTAAATTACTACATGGAAGTGTTAAGGAATTTAGGATAAATTGATTTCGTACTTTTTACTGTCTTAATAAAATTACCGCGGGAGCGGAATTAAATTAAGATAGTGTAATCAACTAAGTCGTGGGAACGATTAGAAGATTACCATTTGTAAATCTTTCACACACCTAAAAGTAATTAAGTTAATTAGTTAAATCTTTATTATTTATGAACATCATAATAAATTTACTCTTAGCCCAAGCCTAATTTTCTCTATATCATTAATTGTTAAATTATCAAGTATTGTGATTTATTTTATTTCCTAGCAATTTCACATTTATAAAAACAAGATAAAAAAATATGTTCACTTAGCTCCATTGCAAAATGTTATCAATTTGTGATTAGCTAAAAATCAATCATTAATTCTAGTTCTCTTTTTGAGCCATTCTCTAGCGGAACGATACTCACTTACTCTATACTATATCGTTACAAGCCAATTAAAACATCATTTCCATTCACATTTTTACACCATTTCACACTACACATTTTGGCATGTCACGATTTTGGCGCCGTTGCCGGGGAATGGCATAGTTTTATTGATTGATTATTAGTTAATATTAGTGTTTGTTTTTATTTATTTGGAGACTAAGTGTTTTTATTTCCTGTTATCATCACTTGTTTTTAGTTTCCAATTGTAAAAAAAAAAACAAAAAAAAAAAAAAAATAGTGTATGCATACTCGCTCTCAAGGGAGTGAAGGATTGCAACCACTTAACCTTGATTTTGAAAAAGAATTAAGGAAAAGAAGAAAGGCCCAAATCCTTGAACTTAAAATTCCAAATCAGATCATGGAGGACCTTCACAACAATCCCAATAATCCAAATAGCCAAAACCAAATTTCAAATCCAAATCCTACGCCACCACAAAATACCCCTATAAATACACCCATTGATACTCCTAGAGATAGACATAATCCTTTCTTTGGAGATCAAAGACCCCCTGGATTTGAAAATTTCCAACAAATTCCTCCTCAAACACAACCCAACCCTTATCCACCACACCCCTACCAAAACTACCAAAATCACCAAAACCAACCTCCACCATATCCATACACATACCCTTATCCTTACCCACCTCCTCCTTTTATACACCCATACCAACCTCACCCATATGGCCAATACTACCAACACCCACATAATCAACAAGGTCAAGGCCAATTCATGAGACAACAACAAAATGGCAGAAGACTTCTTGATTATGTTGCAGGTGAAATTGAGGAACAAGATAGCATTCTCTATCCAGGCGTGGATGCAGTAAATTTTGAGATCAAACCAGCACTTATCTCGTTGGTCTCAGCAAATAAATTTGGCGGATCAAAGAATGAAGATCCAACGAGCCATGTGAAGCAATTCTTGAGAGTTCTCCAAACTCTTAAACTAAACGGAGCCTCTGTTGATGCTATCAGGCTCAGATTGTTCCCATTCTCACTGAGGGATGAGGCATTGAGTTGGTTGAACTCTAAACCATCCGGTTATTTCAACACATGGGAGAAGTTGCATAGAGATTTCATGAAGGAGTTCTATCCTCCTTCTAAGGCATCAAAAATGAAGAAACTGATCCAACAATTCAGACAACAACCATCAGAATCTCTTTATGAATCATGGAAGAGATTTAAAGATCTTCAAGTTCAATATCCACATCATAATATGAGCATGGGTGATCTCATTGTCTCATTTTATGAGGGATTACATGATAATTCCAAAATTGTTGTGGATGCCTCTGCTAATGGAGCTTTCATGGAGCTTGATCCCGAAACTGGAAAAGAGATGCTTGAGAAAATTTGCAACAACAGTTCATCATGGTATTCTGAAAGATCAACTCAAAAGCTAGGAGCAGGGATTTATGAGGTTGACCAAACAACAGCTTTAACAGCAAAGGTTGATTCTCTCACAAACATGATCCAAAAGCTCACTGAGAAGCAATCATCATCAACTTCTAGCAAATCAACAAATCCATCATCATCTTTAGCTCAAGTTTTGTTCTGTGAACTCTGTGGAGGAGGGCATTCTGCAAAGGAATGCAATCTTCTAGAACTTACACAAAACGTTCCTTCTGGCCCCACAGTAGAACAAGCCGATGCTATATATGGTAGACCTCAAGTACCATATCAAGGAAACTATAATCCTCAAGGGAAGACACATCCAGGATTTTCATGGAGTAATTCATCAGGTGCAGCAAATCCATCTTTTCCATCCAAACCAACACCTCCTGGATTTCAAAATCAGCAAGGATTCAGAGGAAACCAAAACAACCAACAATTGAGGGGAAATCAAGGGTACCAAAATCCTCAAGGTTATCCACCGCAACAACAATTGCCACCACCACAACAACAACAATTCGTTGGAGTTAATGATTTCCAACAGATGATGCAAGGAATTACTAATCAATTCTCTCAACTCACAACTCAACTCAATCAAATTCAAGCTCACAACAAAATGTTAGAGAGCCAAATTGCTAGTTTTGCTTCACCATCAACTAGCAAAGCTCAAGGAAAGTTGCCTGCCTACTCTGAACATCCCAAGGAGAATGTCAATGCAGTCACTACAAGGAGTGGAAAACAACTTTCTGATCCACCACTTATAGTTGAGAAAGAAAAGATTCCTGAAAAGGAGGCTTCACCATCAAAGGAAAATAATGAAGAAGATCTTACTTCTTCTGCAAATGAAGGTTTAAAAAAGGTAGTGCAACCATATGCTCCACCTTTACCATTTCCTCACTGAGCAAAGAAGAATACAATTGATGAGAGGAGGGATAAATTCCTTAAATGGATCGGTGAGTTGAACACAACAATCCCGCTTCTTGATGCTCTAAAACATATGCCTTCATATTCCAAATTTCTGAAGGAAATTCTGTCAAACAAAAAGAAGTTCGAGGAGAAAGCTACAATAGCCATGAGCGAGGGATCCAGTGCTATCATTCAGAAGAAACTTCCTGAAAAATTGAAGGATCCAGGTAGCTTTACTATACCATGCATAATTGGAGGGTTCATGGTCAACAAAGCTTTATGCGACCTTGGGGCTAGTGTTAGCCTTATCCCCTATTCTATGAGCAAGCGCCTTAGTCTTGGTATTCCCAAGGCTACTTCAATGACCATTCAGCTTGCTGACCGATCTGTTAAGCACCCTGTTGGTGTTCTTGAAGACATTCCTGTACAGGTTGGGAAATATTTCATCCCTTGTGACTTTGTCGTCCTAGACATGGATGAAGATGAGCGAGTACCTGTCATATTGGGAAGACCTTTCTTGGCCACTGCCGGTGCCATCATTGATGTTAAAAAAGGTACGTTAATAATTGAAGTGGGGGATGAAAGGGTTGAATTCAATATTTTCCAAATGGCGAGAAATCCTGCATGTATGGAAGATTGTTGGAGGGTTGATATAGTTGATGAATGTGTGAGAGACTTCATGGGATTCTTTCACAATGATCCTATGGAAGTTTATGATGTGGAGGAAATTGAAAATAATCATGAGGGAGAAGAGTTAGTTGAGTGTGTAAAAAACAAAGAGAGTTGTAAAAAGAATCACGAGGGGAAGGAAGTGGTAAAACTGGTGAAAGAAGAAGTGAGGGAGGCTAACAACACAAAAGAACCACCCAAAAATGAGTTGAAGCCTTTACCATCACACCTAAGATATGCTTATCTTGGTGAAAACTCCACTTACCCAGTGATTATTAGCACTAAGTTGAACGAGGAAGAAGTAGACAAACTATTGACCCTGCTGAGAAAACACAAACGGATCATTGGATACTCCATTGATGATCTAATTGGCATCAGTGCTAACTATTGTATGCACAGAATATATCTTGAGGAAGGTTGCAAACCAGTAGTTGAACATCAAAGGAGGCTCAACCCTAACATGAAGGATGTTGTGAAGAAAGAAGTTATCAAACTTCTTGATGCCGGAATCATTTACCCTATCTCGGACAGCAGATGGGTAAGTCCAATCCATGTTGTACCAAAGAAAGGAGGTTTCACAGTTGTTCCAAATGAGCACAATGAGCTCATTCCTACTCGTTTGGTCACGGGATGGAGAATGTGCATCGATTACAGGAGGCTGAACAAAGTCACAAATAAGGATCATTATCCTTTACCTTTCATTGATCAGTTGCTTGAAAGGATGGCAAACCATAGCCATTATTGCTTTCTAGATGGATTTTCAGGATATTTTCAAATCATGATCCATCCAGATGATCAAGAAAAGACTACCTTCACGTGTGCCTATGGTACATTTGCTTTTCGAAGAATGTCATTTGGCCTATGTAATGCACCCGGAACTTTCCAACGGTGTATGATGGCCATATTCTCTGATCTTATTGAAGAAATCATGGAGGTATTCATGGATGATTTCTCTGTTTATGGGACCTCATTTGGTTCGTGCTTGGATAATCTTGATAAAGCACTGACTCGTTGCCAAGAGGCAAATCTTGTTCTAAACTGGGAGAAGTGCCATTTCATGGTAACAGAGGGAATTGTTCTTGGGCATAAGATTTCATCCAAAGGCATTGAGGTAGATCCAGCAAAGATCGAAGTGATTGAGAAGTTACCACCACCAACATCTGTTAAAGGCATCCGAAGTTTTCTAGGGCACGCCGGATTCTATCGGCGATTCATCAAGGATTTTGCTAATATTGCAAAACCACTCACAAGACTCCTGTCCAAAGAGGTTGAGTTTATCTTTGACGATGCTTGTCTTAATTCCTTTTGCAAAATTAAGAAAGCATTATGTTCTGCACCTGTCATTCAACCACCAGATTGGAGCATGCCTTTCATCCTAATGTGCGATGCTAGTGACTATGCTGTAGGAGCCATGTTGGGACAGAAACAAGGTCGGTGCATACATGCAATTTATTATGCAAGCCATACTCTCGATGATGCCCAACAAAACTATGCCACAACAGAAAAAGAACTACTCGCTGTTGTCTTTGCAATAGAGAAGTTCAGGTCATATCTTGTTGGAAGCAAAGTGATAGTCTACACTGATCACTCGGCTCTAAAGTACCTGTTTGCGAAGAAGGAGGCCAAGCCACGACTTATTAGATGGGTGTTGCTACTACAGGAGTTTGATATTGAGATCCTTGACAAAAAAGGGTCTGAAAATGTCATTGCTGATCACCTGTCCAGAATTGAGCCACACACAGAAAATGAAGCGACTAAAGTGTTACCCATTGATGATTCATTCACGGGAGAATATTTACTCTCAATCAAGCACTTTTCTCCTTGGTATGCTGATTGGGTTAATTACCTTGTCAGTGGTTATATTCCTTCTGAATTCTCATGGGCCCAAAAGAAAAAGTTCTTACATGATGCTCGCTCCTATTTTTGGGATGAACCACTATTGTTCAAGAGATGTGCTGATGGAATTGTTCGAAGATGCATCCCAGAAGATGAATTTGAGGCTATCCTTTATCATTGTCATTCATCACCATATGGTGGTCATTTCGGATCCACTAGGACTTCAGCTAAAGTCCTGCAGTCAGGTTTCTATTGGCCTACATTGTTCAAAGATTCTCAAATGTATGTGAAAAGATGTGATCGATGCCAACGCACGGGATCAATTGGTCGTCGAAATGAAATGCCACAATCTGGAATACTTGAAGTTGAACTCTTCGATGTATGGGGAATGGACTTTATGGGCCCATTTCCTAGCTCATGTGGCAATTCTTACATTCTTGTGGCGGTGGACTATGTCTCGAAATGGATTGAAGCGATTGCTAGTCCAACCAATGATTCCAAGGTTGTGATCCGGTTTGTAAAGAAATTTATTTTCTCAAGGTTTGGAGTTCCCAGGGCCTTCATCACAGATAATGGTACACACTTTTGCAATAAACAACTTGAGAAACTTTTGCTCAAGTATGGTGTTAATCACAAAGTGTCTACTCCGTACCATGCACAAACTAGTGGCCAAGTTGAACTCTCAAATAGGGAAATTAAATCAGTCCTTGAGAAAGTTGTCAATCCCACAAGGAAAGATTGGTCCCTCCGATTAGATGATGCTTTATGGGCTTATCGTACTGCATATAAGACTCCCATTGGGACATCGCCGTTCAAATTGGTGTATGGGAAGTCTTGTCACTTACCAGTGGAGATTGAACACAAAGCATTTTGGGCTATCCAAAGCCTAAACCTTGACTACACTCTGGCAGGGAAAAAGAGGCTACTACAATTGAATGAACTTGAAGAATTCAGACTTGATGCCTTTGAGAATGCCCGACTTTACAAGGAAAGAGCAAAGAAATGGCATGACGGAAGAATCCTTAGGAGAGACTTTTCTCCTGGGGATAGTGTGCTACTATTCAACTCAAGGCTGAAACTCTTTCCAGGAAAGCTGAAATCAAAATGGTCTGGACCTTTCAAAGTTATCAAAGCCTTTCCATCTGGGGCAATCATTCTGGAGGCCAATGATGGGAGGCAATTCACTGTTAATGGCCAAAGAGTTAAGCAATACCATGAAGGAGATGACACAAAGGAGAAACTCACTGTTCATCTGGATGATCCTCCTTACGAGTAAACCACCCAGGTAATGTCGGGCACTCGACGTTAAAAATAGCGCTTCTTGGGAGGCAACCCAAGCTTATTTACTTGCATTTGAATGTGTGTTTTGCTTGTGTGTTTGCATTGAATAATTTTATTTTCCCACCCATTTACTCACCCGCCCTGTATATATTTGTCACATCGAGGACGATGTTTCGTCTTAAGTGTGGGGGGAGAATATGCATGTTTGTGTGTTTGTGAACTGCCTTATCAATTTGTATAACTTTCAAATCATGCATTCTATTCTTTCACAAGGTACGTGGATTGTTGGCGGGACTTGTCTCTTAATAATTGGATTGAGAATCATAATTTTTGAGCGTTGAGTAAAATTTTGGTCAAAATTTTAAACTTTTTACAAACACAAAACCTCTCATGCACATAAATGGTTATCTAGTGAATTGTTGTTCAATATGTTTAAAATTGTGCAAAACAAGAGTGCTATGTGCTTTTATTTTCCTTGACATGATTTTCTGACTTAGCACATTAGGAAATGATATAGGCCATTTTTCATAAACCCATATACCTAGCCTTACCCATGTGATTAATATCCCTTGTTCACCCCCTTTGAGCCATTTTTTTTTAATAAGCGTTATACGCTTAACCCTGTTTTTTTTTATTTTCTTTCATAAAAACCTGTTATATGTGACCCTTAGCCTAAAAGCCAAACACTTTCCAACCACCCTAAAATGGCTTGCATAAATTTTAATGAGTTTAGAGAGTGTCATTCACATTTAGGGAGCTTTAATAATTACATTTTTGTGATTACTTAGTTGTTAATATTCATTTATAGGGGTAGTTGTTCTTGTTGTATCATCATTGTACATATTGTTCTTGTAAATTCTTATGGTTAGAAGCACTAAAAAGCCTTGAGCAAAAACAAAAAAATCAAAAACAAAAAAAAAACAGCAAAAAAAGAAAAAGAAAAAAGAAAATGAAAAAAAAAAAAATCTAAACAAGGCTAAATATCCATGTATATGCTTCTCTCTTTTGTATATTTTTCTTGTACATTAATTTACTCTTTTTACTAGTTACTACCCCTAACTGTTAAAAATAACAAGTGTTGTATAGATTATTGTCAAAAGCTCCTACTCACAACTTAGTACCTCTCTAAATTTGTTAAATTTATGTCAAGTTCATTTCTTTTGTTTCCTCATTAATTCCCTTTGTTCATAAGCCTTATCCCACAGACCCCATTATAACCCTATGTGAAAGTCCTAATTGATCCTAATTATGTTTTGTCTGAAATAAGTTGATAGGAAAATCTTATTTTGCATAATTTTGCATGATTGAACAAATGAAGCTAGATTCCATCTTCACACCACACACTTTGTGTTTGTTAGAGTTGAGATTTGACCAAAACGTTTCAAATGATATGCAAAATATTTTTATGATTCTCACTACTCTAATTTTGTGACAAGTCAAGGGAATTTGATTGACCAGGTGGAGTGAAGGTAAAGTGTGCATGATTTGAGGATTACACATATGATTTGGCAATTCATTTTTGCTTGCTTGCTTGCTTGTGTGAAATGCATATAAATATTTTTGCTTGAGGACAAGCAAAATCTTAAGTATGGGGGAGTTGATGTACTCCTAATTTACCATATTTATGATCTTGTTTTGTCACACTTTTAATACTTTATTTCTCATTTTTAAATAAAAAGGAATGCTCTTTATCATTTTGGACATTTTAAGGTATTGCACTTGTTTTGGTATATTTTTGAGTTTCAGGATAATTCGGGACGAATATTAATTTCTGAAAAGAAATAAATATTACTCCCGAATGAAGACGGAAAAATCATCAAAGTGAAGTGGGTTCTTACTTTAACTCCGGAATATTTTATCAAGAGTCCCGAAATACATTTTAGAATAAGTCAGACTGTCCGCAATAAAACGTACCGGTTAATTGCTGACCAGTTAACTGATCAAACAATTAACCGGTCAAATAATGCAAGTGGCGGATACAAGCCAAAACTTTGGCTGACAGGTACTATTCACTCCTTATTATGAGTGAAACTCCATACGTAGGAAGCTCCCAAGAATGAAAAGAAATAAATACATTGCATTATGAGAGGGACCCATTCAATAGTGATGACTTTAGTTTCTTCCACACAATTGAAGCTCTACACACGTATCATCTTCACCATTCAGCAACAAACCAAAAGAAGCTCAATCAAAGTTCATGACAGGCGCCGCAGAAGAAGAAAAATGAGTCCAGAGCACTATTCTTCAATAGGAACTCAATTCCATCACCATCTTCATCATATGACTTTTGTGCTCCAAGCTATTCTGAAGTTGCCTATATAAAGAGCCATTTGGGAGCTGCGAAAACACACCAATTCAGAGAGGAATCATCCTCTTCTTTCTTTAGCTTTGTTCATAGTAGTAGCAATAAAATAAAAGTGATTCTGCCAAGAACACTTTCTGTATAGATTTCAGTTTGTAATTCTCAGTTCCAAAATATTAGCTTGTGATATTTGGTATTAAAGTTCATTTGCAATTATCAGTTCGTTCGATCAGTTCCAGATTAATACAAGGACTTCAGCTTTTCTGTTCCAGTTCATCTATGTTCTTCATTATTTATGCCTTCAGGTTCTTATTTAAACACTCACTTTAATTTCTTTAATCTGTTAAGTTAAATATGTCTAGCATGAATTTTTACTTTTATATTGTTCACTATAATTATGTGTAACTAAATTAGTTTAGGTTTGGGCAAGATGTTATTTTTACTATTAATGTTCATAAGATAATAATTGGTTAAAACTATTAACTGGTTAATTTTAGGAGTGTTGGGTTGAATACTATAATCTGCTAAATAAATTAATATTGGAAATGAATATTATCACGGGAGTGAAATTTCATTAAAATCCATTTATTTAATTCACCCACTAAATTACTACATGGAAGTGTTAAGGAATTTAGGATAAATTGATTTCGTACTTTTTACTGTCTTAATAAAATTACCGCGGGAGCGGAATTAAATTAAGATAGTGTAATCAACTAAGTCGTGGGAACGATTAGAAGATTACCATTTGTAAATCTTTCACACACCTAAAAGTAATTAAGTTAATTAGTTAAATCTTTATTATTTATGAACATCATAATAAATTTACTCTTAGCCCAAGCCTAATTTTCTCTATATCATTAATTGTTAAATTATCAAGTATTGTGATTTATTTTATTTCCTAGCAATTTCACATTTATAAAAACAAGATAAAAAAATATGTTCACTTAGCTCCATTGCAAAATGTTATCAATTTGTGATTAGCTAAAAATCAATCATTAATTCTAGTTCTCTTTTTGAGCCATTCTCTAGCGGAACGATACTCACTTACTCTATACTATATCGTTACAAGCCAATTAAAACATCATTTCCATTCACATTTTTACACCATTTCACACTACACATTTTGGCATGTCACAGGGCCACCCAGAGATACTTCAACAAGGCCGTGAAATTCCGCGAAATAGAGGCCGGGGACCTCGTACTCAGGAAAAGAGAGAAGAGCAAGCCGCTCGAAGGCGGCAAAATGGCGAAGAACTGGGAAGGACCTTACCGGGTCATCAGAAGATATAACCAGGGGACGTTCCTCCTCCACACCCTGGAGGGGAACCATGCCGGGATGTGGAACGTAGAACGCTTGAAGAAGTTCTATCAATAGTTAGGGGCTGTTGCCCTTGTATCATTCCCACTACCATGTAAAATGGCCGGACGTCGTCAATAATAAGGCCCCTGTTTTTTCTGAAATTCTGTTCTGGCCAACGACCGTTAAAGAAGGGAATCTCGATGTAGATAAACCTGTTCCTCCTTGCGATGTCGACGGACACCGAACGTCTCCTCGAAGTAGGGACGCCGGTGGGACCAGGGACCAAGGACGAACGAAGCACCAGGGAATCTCGATGCAGATAAACCTGTTCCTCCTTGTGATGTCTGCGGATACCGAACGTCTCCTCGAAGTAGGGACGCCGGTAGGACCACGGACCAAGGACAAACGAAGCACCAGGGAATCTCGATGTAGATAAACTTGTTCCTCATTGAGATGTCGGCGGATACCGGACGTCTCCTCGAAGTAGGAACGCCGGTAGGACCAGGGACCAATGACGAACGAAGAGTATGGATTGCCTCCACCAAAAAAAAAAAAAAAAAAAAAAAGAAGAAAAATTGGGGAGAAGAGGAGAGGAGCTCCTATGTAGAAGGGAATCTTGCCCGGGTGTGCCAGATCTTCTCCAACCGCCGAAGACGAACGCCTCTCGGTGTAGAGGTTAGTAGAGACGCGGAGGGGGCTAGACGAACCAAGGGAGCCCGCCAAGATAAACCTGTTTATCCCACAAACGACCATGGATCGATGGACGTGGGGTAACAAAGTCGGGGACCCGTGAGGGTAGACCTGTTCGTCCCTGCGAGTCCTTGGGTACCGAACGTCCTCTTCGAAGCAAGAGACGTCGGTAAGGCTAAAAGGACCACGGACGAACGAAAAAAGGGGGGAATCTCGATGTAGATAAACCTGTTCATCCTTGCGATGTCGGCGGACACCGAACGTCTCCTCGAAGTGGGGACGCCGGTGGGACCAGGGACCAAGGACGAACGAAGACTAAAAGACTCCAAAAAAAAAAAAAAAAAAAAAAGAAATGCCAGAGGAGTAAGGAGCAAAGAATGATTTTTTATTCTTCGGCGCTATTGGCCGGAAAATTACAAGACAATGAAAATAATGGGAAAAATTGTACAAGTACAAGGTCATGAACAGAGAATCACTTTCGATCGACGTCCGGAGCTGGAACTTTGGAAAGAGCCTGCTTGCATTCTTCACTAGCTTTGGCTTCCGCCTGCTCCTTCAGCAGCTCGAGGGCCCCCGCATGAGCGTCCGCCATCAGAACATCAAAGCCAGCCGCCTCCGGATCGAAAGGAGCCCCGAAATGACGCTCGAACGTGGGGAGATTCTCCGCTACGAGCCCAACCATGCCCTTGCGATAAGTATCATCGGCAAGATCACCAAGGAAACGCCGTCCGGTGGGGGTGGCCTGGAGGAATTTGACCCCATCCAGATAGGCATCCGGGCAGGTGGCTAGAAATTCTCCGACGAGCCTCGGGAGGAACTTCATGGCCATGGTGTGAATGGCACCAGTGTAAGCTTTGGATTTCTGGAAGGCGATGGAACCAGACTCCTTGATTTTGGCAACATCGGCCTCATAAATAGGGACATGGTTGTCCATGCCCGTCCGGCGAAGCTCCACCTTGGCCTGCTCTACGGCCCACATCCGGCTGCGGAGATCCACGAGCTCGGCCTCCTGCTTCTTGAGAAGCTCTTTCTGAGAGGCATTCTCCTGAACGAGCTTATCATAGGCCTCGGCTTTCTCTTGAAGGGTGCCGGCCCTGCCTTTTGCATTCCTCAGAAAGGCATCACATTCAGCCCGTACTCTAGCCATCTCCCTGCCCTGGCGCTCGAAGGCCATCCGAGCCCTATGGAAGTAGAGCCCGGCCTTATCCAGCGTGCTCTGGCCGCACTCCAAGAGATCTTCAGGGGCCTCCTGAGCAGCGAAATCCTGCGGAACCTTGAGATTCAGCCCACACCAGATGGAGGACGCCGTCTGGCCGAAGAGCATCATTGACTCTTTGCGGGGACCAACCCCGGAGAACTCAATCAGTCCAAGAGAAGACCCACTGGCTTCGGGAGGCGAGCTTGGATGAGCGTCGTCAGAACCCTTGGCAGCTTGGGCATCATCGTCCCGGAGACGGCGGACGTCGGAATTCTGCGGGGGAGAAGCACGAAGATGGGGCCTTGAAGTGGGTTTCCGCTTGAGGGGACTTCCGGGCTCCCCATCGGAGTCATCGGCCACAATGATGGCCTTGGAGGAGGTGCCCTCAGCACGTGGCCTCTTGGAGGCGCCGGCCCCCGAAGCGTCATCGGCTCGTGCCCTGGTCACCCGAGGTTCGACCTTGGGGATGAGCGGCTTCCCGGGCTTGTCATGCCCCTTGTGCTCACGGCCGGCGGCAGTCGAAGCAACATGGACTCGGCTCATCGTAGACGTGGGGGGGAAAATTCCTGCACAAAGGGAACCAAGACGTTCAGAGCCATAACAGTGGAGAGAGGTTAAAACAATACAAGTACAAACGGACGCACCTAACCCAGCCCGAGCTTTAAAAGGCTCGGCCACCAGCAACCGGAGGTTCTGGATGCCAAGTCCGGCTATGCGCTTGGCATATCCGAGCTCCTCGTCCGTCATGGGCGGCGGGATCGTCTTCACCGGGTAAGCATTCCACCGGTCAGAGAATGGCATCGGTGAGCCTACTCCGGCCAGGAAGAAGCGCTCTTCCCAACCATCCGGATTCCCAGCATTGTTCGAGAATAGGACCATGGACGGACGGGCGATCAGGGTCAGATATCCCGTGCGTCCGAAGGGGGACAGCCGGAAGAAATGGTGCAGCAGGTCCACGGTGGGGGTCACACCGACGCTGTGGCATCTAATAATGAAGCCAGCGATTATCCGATAGGCGGCAGGGACGAACTGCGCAGGCACTATCTCAAGGGCCCTGAAGAGCTCTAAGTGGAAGCTATGCAAGGGAAAGTTCAGCCCGGCTATCACCGAATCCAAATGGACCACCACATAGCCGGGCAGATGGCGCATGGGGTTGCGCAGACGCCGATCGTCGTAGGTCCTTGGAGGATAGAACCATTGGCTGATCAGACGCTTGTCAGCATTCGTCAGGCGTTGGACTTGACGCCGAACGTACGAAAAGCTGAGGCTATAACGGGGAGGCCAGGGCGGCATTCCCCGCTCATAATATTCCAAGTCTTCACCAGAAGAACAACCATCGTCGAGGCGATTTTCGAAGGACATGGCAACGAACGGTACCTTTTGCTTGGGCACTGGGGATAAATCCGGCTCGTAGAAGTTGCTAGAGAGAGAATATATTTCCGCAGCGTATGGGCTAAATGAATCGACGATGACTGATCTCGTGGTATTTGGGCACTTATAAGCGAAATGCCGCAGATCGACACCAACCGCGGGCTGGCACGTGTCCAAATAACACCGGCATAGCAATAACTTTGAAAGGCACCTCGAGCCCCGCGCTTTTGGGGAAGCCAAGAGGCCGCTGACGGATCTTAGAATTCGGGCCTGACGACGGACGTCGACCATAGAACCCGGGATCCCCACAAGCTGGGAGGGCAACACCAGACGAACATCGTCGGACACAGTGCCCCGTCCTTCAAGGCAACTCGTACAAATAGCGACGCCTTATTAGTCTTGTGATCGGCTATCTAAGGTGGCAAGGGCAGGATTAGCTCGAAAGCATACGGCCGAAGGGCCCGGGTGCCCAAGGTGCGAGAGGCCTGGCTAGGCAACGGGCGTCTAAGCCAGGAGATGACGACGCCCGGCGGCAAAAACTACGGATACGCTACGCGTTATCTGGCTACGTACGGCGTGAGTACATTGAAAGAATAAGGTACGAACACGGCATTAAGACGAACTTTGGCAAAACATGGATTTTTATTCTTCAGCACTACCGGCTGGAAAGTACAAGTCTATATGCTACAGTCGGAAGGAAGGCTAGACTAAAATATAAATCAGCACATATGGGGGGATGATGGCCGGCTCCCGGCATGAGTGTGCTCTTCCACCTGAGGCTCGGGCTCAGGGGTTGGGGGTTCCGGGATATCCCCCATGGCTATGGCCGCCGCTCGGCGCCTATCCCGCCTTATTTTCCCCAGGGCTTCAATCAGCAGGTCCTCTTCCGTATGATCGGCCGGGTTGACGTCAGGGCCCAGAAGCTTCTCAAAGATGGGGAGAAAGGCTTTGACCCCTTCGCTATAGCCACCGGCGAAGGCGCTATCAGCAGAATCATAAAGGAATTGGCGCGCTAAGGGGGAGCTTCCCATTAGCCGCACGCCGTATTTCAGACGATCCTTCGCCGGGACCTTCTCCAGGGCATGAGAGAACACGTCTCCAAAGGCCCCAGCGCAGAAATCCTTGGCCGAGTCCATGAACTCGCCAGTATTCCGGTAGCCGGAGGTATCAACGCACCATTCCGGGATAGCACCCTTGGGGGCCGGAAGCACCGGCATAAGCTTGAAGCCGGCCTTCTCCAAGCAGGCCAGTTGGGCGCCAGTTTCAGCCTGAAGGGACCGAAGCTCCTCCCTGGCTGAGGCAGCCTCTTCTTCTGCCCGACGGGCGACCTCCCGAGCCTTCAATATGGCGGCATCGGCCTTGCTCCTCGCCTCTTGCAGGGCGGCCTCCCTGGCAGCCTCGGCTTGCAGCACCAACAGCCCTGACTGTAAGGAATGGGATGAACAGAAGTTAGATGACATAACGACGGGCTTCAGAGAGACAAAATGAGTCGAATCGCGACAATACCTGGATGGCCGCTGCCAGAGCGGCGCTGGTCGCTTCAGAAGACGACCGGGGGGCCAGTTCGAGGCCGGCCTTGGCCCCAAGCTCCCTCCAAAGCTCCTCCGCCGGCCGGCTCAGGGAGAGACCGTTGGCATCTTCAACAACGGGGCCGGAGGAAGAACAGTCTCGCCCCCTCTTTGGCTTCTTCTCCGGGGCCCTCTCGACCCCCTTCTTGGGGACCACCTTCGTTGGGACGATCGGCGGGGGGAGAGCAGACTCAGCATGGTGGGGTATGGCCCCCTCATTCAGGAGGGTGGCAATCAGATGCTGCTCACCATCGGCAGTCCGACGGGCGGCCTCAGAGGCAGACGATCCGGCACCATGGGCGGCGGCCTCCCTGGCCGCT